TGCGAGAGAAATGAAAAATAAACCCCAGATAATCCTTCAGTTAAAAGGTTACTCAGGGCGATAAAAGCTATTTTGTTAATTTATTTACTCTCTGTGCCGGAGAGATAAAGAAAAAGGAACAATTAGGGAATTCTAGGTGAGAGAATTTAAAAGGGCAATGACATTGGGTTAATATTTTATAAGACCTGATTGGCAGAGACCTGGAGAGGCTTTTTGTTTACATAAGCCCGACGCCGGAATGATTCACTCGCTTGTTTTGGCCGACTGTGCGGAAATGGAATAAATATCTTCCCACCTTACCTTTTAGAAACATCAAACAAAAGGCAGAGATAAAAGGTTAATGGCTCAATCAGAACCCACCAGGAAATAATATTATGTTCTTTCTGTGCAAACTCCATTCGCTTATTGACATAATCAGGTTGGAAAATTCGAAGGGGAGATATCGGAGGATGGGAGGAGCAGCTGTGTGTAACTAAATACACTGAAGAAAGCGTGCATGCATGGGCTAAACATTACATTTGTGGTTTCAATTGATTTATAACAGATCATAATCACTGCATTAACGGCGTTCGGGGTAATAAGATCTCAGTCGCTGCTTCCGCCAACAGAAAAAGACGGGGCGACTGATGGCTGGAAGATGTCATAATTCCTCTGTGAAATCAACACTATATCTAGCTGTTATTATTATCTTCTTCCTGTAAACTGGGGTGCGAACGAGAATTTAATTATTGGACTTTTATTGAAATTGGACGGGTGTGGAGTGTATTGTCAGTGCCTGCGTGTAATCTGATTGCCAGTGTGTTGTATAGGATCAGGTTGCAGGCCCGACTCTGCTGGGTCAACACATGGCCGAGCCCATTAAAGGAAGTCTGGTTCAGGGAAAGTTCACCACTATTTTCTTTTCACCATGGCAGCAAAACAAAAAACCAGAGAGAATAGATGTGTAACATATTTGTAGGCCCCCGCTCCAAAGCTGCATGGTGGGGCATATTTTGTTTTCTTAATTGAAGCCAGAGTTTGGGGGCCCCCTGAATATCACTTGGTAAATATAAATAAAGAGGAGAATAAAATGGCCTCTTGAATGACCTCCAACGCAAAAACAATATTGTGCGTTTTGAGAACAAGTAGAAGGTTTCAAAATAGAAAAAGATATGAAAAGAAAGCAAAAACCCAGGCACAGACGTAAAAACACAGCGACTATTTGCGTCGCTCCCAGGCGTGGATAAATAGAAAGGGAAACACAGCAGAAATATTAGTCTTATCTCACAATCTTACAATTATAGACTGTGGACTTGAACTCAAACTGAAACTCAATAGGAGAGCCCAAATTTTCTTTATCTTCTATCTTCATATATCAAAACGTATCTGGATCCACACTCATGTTTTGCATTCATATATTTTTTAAATAATTTTATAACCATTCATCATAAACTTTTGTGAAAAACAAAATACTCCAAATAAATAAGGTAAAGTTATTCATGATAAGTCCCTACATTCCAATCATAAATCCAGTGGTCCCATCTCTTTTTTCCTCTTCAATATTGGCCTAGTTTGCAGTGGTTTCTGTGCCAGGCTATTTGGGGAATCAGCATCTGCTGCGTGATAAATAGCCTGGTGCTTTTGTTTGAGGCCAGGTTGAGTTCCTCTCTGGACCCGTCTTATTAGCCCTGTGTGGCTCTGACCAGCTCTCTCTGTAATGTGGCAGGGCAGCTCTATCCTGCAGCCAAAGGACATGTTAACTCAAATAAAAAGATCAACACTTCTCATACTGAAGCTAAAAGTGTATTCTTCACACTGGATTTAGACACCTCCTTGGTCCTAAGTGAAGGAGACAATAACATGGATGTGAGTGAGGTTTTGTGTAGCTGTAGGAGCCCAGTTCAAAGCGCTCTTTCAGACGCTGGATTGCTTTCATGGCTGGTGTTATTTGTGCGGCGGCCGGGGGAAGGTGAAACGCTATCCCTTTAAACACAGACACACATTCTCCAACAGTCTGTCTAAACATTACCTTTACTTAACTGGAGCTTTGTACCTGGGTTCACATCCCCTGACATGATCTGAGGTTGATGTGACATTTTTGTCCATTTGAGGGCCTTTTTTGCTTTTGGTATTGTTGGTAAAAAGCCCTTTACCCATCTCATAGCCTCTATTGAGGTCTTTCATAAATAATTCAGTCAGAGTACAAGTGAAAGTGATGACAGCAAAACTGTCTGCGATCTCCCCCTCTCCAAAGATCAAAGAGGTGCTTCTATAGAAATAGGAATTACATTTCCAGACCTGTGCTATGTTCTTTCTCTTTCCCTCCTCCTCCCTCTCTCCTCCTATTACTGCTCCTCTCCTCCAGTGGGACGTAGTTAAGTTAAAGCCATCTTTTAGTCCTAAAATCTAGTGAGCGTGTATATGAGGGAGTCAGACAGATACAGCCCCTGCACTCTATTAGCACAAGTGAGGTGAATAAACCACTGAATAGACCACTATAAGAGTGTGTGGGATCAGAGCTGAGAGCAGCTTCACTGTGTGGACACTGCCTTTGGGAAATGCAGGGAAATGTAGTGTAACACAAACAACCACATGTAATGTACTGGCTGATAAAATCCAAATGAGAAAGAACACATCATCAGTCAGCAGCAGGAATACTCTGTTATACACTGTTGTATTCTTATAAAAATAATTATTATTGGACATCATCTGACAATTGTTTTGTTAATTATTTTGGCTCTGACGAGATGGCATATAATGTGTAGTCATTTACATATTTATTAATTATGGCCTAGTTTCCACACCAGATGACCTTCATATCTTACCCCCCCTGTTTAAACTGAAATGGGACCAGCATAAGTGCATACTAGCTGGTGACCCCATGTGGCTGGTTTGTTGTTTTTGTTAAATTATAATGAGAATAATAATTATGGACATGGTTGCAATTATGTAGTTATTAATGACAACAACTTATTATGATTAAATGGTGACTAATTTGTGGCTAAATCAGAATGTCAAATGTGTAAAGTGAGCTTAAATTATAACTGTTAGCTGAGTAGCTGACATCGTTTTTTGTTTTTTTTCGACTATACCCTGTGTACTGTCCTAATCTCAAATAGACGTGCCAGAATATCAAATAATCATCATTTTATGATATCAAGTTTTAGTGTTAAATTATTGTGAGAGGGAACATCACAACTGAACAATTATTTACAATTATTAACACTTTGACCAAACAGCAGTAAATCCTAGTTTTTCTTTCACTCATCTTATACCAGATTCATGGAATTACTAACTCTCTCAATGAACAAGTAATGATATTCTGTACAGATGCACTGATCCAGCTTTTCCAGTTCCGTTACCGATTCTGATGCTGATCCTGATATTACAGAATTAAGTGAATACTCGATATCAACCAATACCAGTGTAGAGACTGAAGACAGCATTTATTTTCTTTAAATGAAAACAAAATAAGACCTTACTGCTCCAAATGTGTTATGTAGCTGTTATTTATCCCACAAGTAACTACAGAACAACTTTGAGTGAATAAAAGTTAAGTTAAAGTAAAGAGATTTTGTGGGCAAACATCAGTAAATAGTCCTTTTACATCAATATATCCAACCGGGATATTGACTGAACCAAAGTCTGGAAAGCGATATCCAATCCAGAATGTGTTTATCGGCTGTGTGGTATCGGATTGGTGCTTCCCTAATATGATCTAAATATGCAGACAGAAAGGCTTATGTAGGCAATGTAGACTTACAAATTGTGACTTCCCTATTTATATCAGGGCTTGTCATAAAACTGGTGCCAAATTAATATGCGCGTCCGTTTTGAATAGAACAGATGATTTCATGTGGCAACCCCAGAAGGCAAAAGCTGAAAGGAAATAAAGAGGAGCGTAGTTTTGACGTTTTGAAGATAAATGAACGCCTGGCCATATTGGAGTGTCTTTGGTATCCTGTTAAAGCTTTAAATGGACTATTGTATGTGAAATAATGTATGAAGCCAATATGTCACCTGTGTCAAGTCAGAATAATTCATCTTCTGCCTACTAGACCCCCTGCCCCTCGCTGCAGAACACACCTTGGTACAATCCTGGACCCTCATTAGTTGCTCATTGCATTTTCTTGGCCACTAGGCTTTTCTTTGTAACTATAAGCCTCCAAAGTGGCTATTGATTGTAACTTGAAGCTGTATTAATAAGTGAATGAGTACAGTGCGTGCAGAGTATGGCTGTATCTGCTTTGAAGGCCTTTTCTCCTCCACATTGAGGTAGCACTCTCATTTATCACGTCTGGATGTGTGCCCCTCGTTTGGTGTAATAAAACTCCCCCATCAGGACCGTCCAACAGGTCTGAATCACTCTGTCACACCACCTTCCAGCTAAGGCGCGCATTAAATCAAGCAAGCAGAACATTTCCTAAGGCAGCCATTGCCTTTTAATTTCCTGAAGAACCTTAAAATATCATTCATTACCAGAACTACACATATTTGGTTTTTAAAAGTCTCATAAATCAATAGTGGCCTGACTGCAATAATTATAACAAGTTAACATGTAATTTCCAGGCTGAGGGGCCGCGCACTGGATTTTTAGCATATGCAAACGAGGCAATTCAAATAGTGCAGGGATATTAATACGGAGGAACAGGTAACGAGGTGCAGGTTATGAATTATGCATCAAAAAGTGGTTGATCTTCAATAAAGGAAATGAATTCACCGTGTAATCTAATTAGTTATGGAACTCTATTATGTCGGGCTACAGAAAGCAACTGTCCTTGAAAAGAAATTTATTTACAGTACATGTTAGCTCGTTTGGAATGGGATTGCATTCTGGAGTGCTCCAAATGTTAACACCCCCCTTTTCCCACCACCCTCCCTCCTCACTCACCCCCTTAATGTGTGTCCGTGTGTCTCTCTCTCTCTCTTTCACACACACACACACACACACACACACACACACACACATACACACACGCAAACCTAACCTCCCTTGTCTTCTGTGTCTGTCTACGTTACAGCTCCAGACCAGGACGGCCCCCCAAAAGGACCCAAAGTGTGACATCGCCGGAGAACCCCCACATCATGCCGCATTCTGTCCCAGGTCTCATGTCCCCTGGTATGATCCCACCCACAGGTATGGAATTTTTTCACATAAAGCTCTCTACAAAAACACACTCCCTACTGCTCATCTCCCAAATGTTAACCAGTCCAAAGCGACACATACACCCACCCGACCACCAGACCAGACACCAGCCATTTCCTCCCCAATCCCCTGCAAACAAATAATAAAGGAAGAGGGGGGGGGTTTGAATAAATTGGAGTGGAGATCTTTCTCTCAGATTATTCCGGTAGATGTTGCATATCGCCCTGAGTGTATTCTAATTAGCACGATTAAATCCACTCGGCTGCTGTATGTACATAGGCAGTGGTGATGCTAAAGCAAGCCTATCGCCACAAGAATCAACAACACCCATTTGTGCCCTAACTTAGCCCAGGGCCCAGTCTTATTGCAGCAAATGCTTTTGTTCTATTTGGGGCTGGCTGCACTGTGCTTGCTTTGATGTTGGTGGCTCCAAGTGCACTCATTTGCATGTTTAGTTTCTTCCTCTTGACATATCTTAATGATACTTTATCATCAAGCACAATATTTAGATGCTTGACCAGTTTATAGCAGTGATGGGTGGTACCAGTATTTTTCAATATCTAGTAATAAGGTAATATTGCGATATCAACCCGATACTCATACTAATGATTTTTGTATTAAAATGCATTTAAGTTTTTAACTCAGTCAGTACCTCAGCCAATAGGAATACCGGTATATCAATATTTGGTATCGATACACTCATCACTAGCTCAAAATAAGCAGACATGATAATATTAGTATATCAGTATTTATAAAACTAAGTAGGGCTGGGCGACATGGCCAATTTTTATTATTTTTTTGCACACATTGGATGATTACATTTTTAATCGATTAAAGTCAGAGCAGGGACTGAAAATTTGTATACCCCTGTAGTCAGCATCACTTAAGTTAGTAAAATGTAATACTGTCCCAATCTTTTTTTTTTTATTTACCTGTTAATAGATTAACTTGAGATAGACAAAAATATTATTTGCATTGCAGTGTTTTGTTCAAATGTTGTATGCCATACTCCTTATATTTGAACACAATAGAGATTGACATGGTACAGTGCTTTGTAGTGTGTAAAAGTGAGGTCAGGCTGTCTGTGCGGCAGTGGGCTATAGAAGCAGACATAAAGGCCGGCCTCAGCGCAGAAGGACAATGATGAGAAAGAGCCGTGTTATTTAGTGGAACATAAAGCAACAGAAAGGCCTTTTGATATCAGCCCCTTTAAGCCCAGGGGGACTCTATGATCTTGACATTTAGTCTTGGTTTTCAGGGGCCGCAGATAAAGTAATTGAGGTTTTTGGTTGTCTCATAACTGTTGTAAGGTCTGCAACCCAGCAGACCCTTCTCCACTTTCTCCATTGTTAATCTTATCTGGACTACGGTATTGCACATGAAACATCAAGTAAGTTACTGAACTTGACGGATTAATAATTACATGTAATTGACCACACACAAGTTAGCATCTAAGCAGGCGGCTAATTGATCTTGCCATCACGTCCAAATGTACTGATTGATGATTAAAATGTGACATTGAGAAAGTGTCTTAAATAGATGCACTATCATGTCATGTCAGATTAGTTCATTTCTCAGATGAGTTAGCGCCTGCACTCACAGACAGAACAGCAGCCCTGGGCTCCTCCCCGGGCTCAGCACTACCCCAGTGAGGCACTACTTGTTTAATTGACAATACAAAAATGAACATAAAGTATTTTGTTCATTGAACTATGATTATATTTCAGATGTGTAATGCTAAAATGGTGGATAGTCTTCTCTTGTCAGTGGCTGAAACTTCAGCTCAGTGATCTAGTTCATAGCCTTTAAGGCAGAAGAGAAGTATTACGGCATTGTTCATGCAAATGGCTGTTTAAGGAGATGATCCTTCATATTTCTCTGCTCCAGTACAGTGTCCAGTGAACAGCACTGTGAGGCTTAAGACACGTCATATTAGATCAAACTGACGAGAATATTCAGTGGGCTAAAAAGATGAGATCCTCACAGTCTAACAGGACCAGAGAGGACTATGTGAAACACATTGTTAACATATGTATCTTTGCCCTTGACACCAGTTCCATTTAGAAAAGGACATCTTAATATGCTTAGGTTCCATTTAAGCAAATGCCCTCATATGTGTGTGGACGCACATGTGTGTGGAAGTGTTGGTGCGTGCGTGGGCGCCCCAGGGGGCTGCGCTGGAGCCTTTCCAGTTGCTGATGCATTACAGGCAGATTGGCCCCAAATCGGATTATTTGCTGTGGACTGACACCACACTGAGATGACATCTCCTTTAAAGTGGAGAGGGCCTGCGCTCACACTCTGGCCACTACTTAAGAAGCAGCTTCAGTATAATTCATTTATGTCCTGGATATGGCTTCAACCTTTTGAATAACGCAAGAGTACGGCATTCACCATTAGAGAAATGAATGTCACCTGCATCTCTCAGAGTGTTCTTTTACTTTACCAGTCAAGACAACATGTTCTGTCAGACTGTAATGCTATGTTGTACATATGTGTACACATACACACTAGCGCCATGGTGCCATGGTGCTTATTGGTGTATTTACAGTATGTTCTTTTATGTACAATTAGCACGTCAGCAACCAAAGAGGATAGTCTAATCTAGTGCCACTTGAAGCTGCTTTAAAATAGATCCAGCATGCACTGGGTAATTTAGTGTCATCTCCTCATGCCTTCCCCCTCCTCTTTGAGTCTGCCGCTTATCATAAGGTTAGTGCGCTATGTAATTGATACTAAATTTGTCGTGATGTGGAAAGCATAGTTCAAGTGGTGCAGTGTACCTAAGACTTGTCTTGTCCCTAACCCCAGTTTGTCATTGTGGCGCTGCCACCGCTCCATGCATACAATTAGGCAGACGTTTTATTCACATGGAGCCTTTCTGTGCTCTAATGCTGCTTTACCTGTTTTATTGTTGCCTATAGTTCACTAAAACCAGATCACAGGGATGTTTGATTTTCTCCTCACTGCTAAAGGAAAGTGGTAAAAGTCTTTCTGAGGAGTAGCGGTGTGGTTAATGTGATTTTAATGAAATGATATGAGTTAGTTGCGGAGGGCACAGGCATTGGGGTGTTTGTTGTAAGAATGTTCTGACATTGGCGCAGGTATGGGGCAGCTCGCATGTTAATTAATGATGAAGATCCTGACAATATGCAGAGGCATGACAGCGTTAAGCCAGTCGGCTGCTGCTTCCTTTGCATATTAATAGATCCTTCATTATTATTTAATATGACAGCTGCTCCAAGGGCTACCATCAGACCTTGTCTCTGTTATTTGCTGTTTGGTGCTCCCCATGTGACACTGCCACGCTTCTCTATTTGTAGACTCTTGCCTGTTTCTGGTGGTGAACTGGTGTGGCTCTGTAAGGAGGATGTGTGCTCTGAGGATTTGGACTTTTCAGTTTGTCTAAACCACAAGTGTGAGAATCTAAAGGTGACTTTGAATATATGAGGCAGGATTGTTTTGTTTGCATAGTAATGAATGCAGATTAGCAGTGAGTGGGATTGGACTTGTTGACGTTTATATTTCTCGTAGCTTAATAGACTTGTTGCTGGGGTCCTACACTTTTACATTTGCTGAAATGAGACGTGCGTACTGAAGATATGACAGCTTATCTAATAAAAGGGAAGAATCACAAGATAATGGATCTTGCTTCATTCATTTCACTTTGACAAAGAAAAAGGTAGCAGACAGAAGCGATATATCAGGCATGAGTTATGAGATAAACTGTTTATTTGTTTGACCTGAGTAATACTAAATGTACTACCTGTTTATATATTGTATCCAGTTTATTATCATATCTTGAATGTTATGTTTATTTTCGTGGATAAATGAAGTCTATAAACCTTTTCCTTTAAGTTGTCTTCTGCCTGTGGTAGAAGGCTGTGAAAAGACAAACAGAAAACAGCCTACACTAGTGCCGTAAACTACTCTAGTCACAGCCAAAGTTAGTGTCACCGAGAGAGCGGGCAAGAGCTCTCCTTTGAGCTGCACCTGATTTGTGGAGGGAATTTATCACACAAACAGCCCAGAGGTGATTTCAATATTTACTGGGCAGTCTGCTCTGCATACGTCTCATTTGGAAAACAGTTGACTCTTGCCCATTATACACAAATGAAGGCTGACCTTCAGACCGGGCAGAGGCCACATTCATTATGTGAAGAAGTATCACCTTCTTACGAGCCTGGCCTATGCATATGGAACAGCAGCCCCAGCCCACTGCAAACGAGAGAGCCCTCTGACATGATGTATACTGTACGTCAATATGGTACTGATGTATTTTAAGATGCAAACAAGGCTTTAAATTATATGCACCTCCATGTCAGAGGCTCAGAGTGACTCTCGCCATCTGCCTATCAGCTGGGAGGAGAGGCGAGGGTGCCCAGGCCGCGCAGTGTGTATTTGTGTGTGTGCATGTTTGTGCATGTGTGTGTGTAAGTGTTAGAGCCACATGTTCCGTCTCTGCCTCTCCGTGTACCCGTGTCTTTCTCAAATGCATGGCTAATAGCTGCTCTTGAGTCCTATCACGCAGTCATGACAGCTTAGTGATGATAAACGCAGACGCCGCCTTGTTCTGCGTCAAACATAAGCTAAACCTGCATATCAAATGTGCAGAGCGTCTGTAAGGGGCCAGGTGATATACTGTATTGTGGAGAGGAGTGATTTCACTAATAGCTGCATGTCTTTGTTTCCTGTGCGCCTTCTTTGATTTTGTTGCTTGGCAGAACAGTCAGGTGACTCTCCTGAGACACAGGCCTAGAGGAGCTTTAGCACTATCTGTCCCTGCTGTTTGAGAACAAGCTCATGAATAAAGATTTCAGTCACGTTCAATACTCTACAACTGCCCCAATGACAAACCAATGCTTTATGATTTCTGCTGTGCGCTGAGCGTATGTATATCTGTAATCTTAGATTCTCTATATCAATCAAATCCTGCCCATTCTGATGGAGGAGGATAGCCTTTTCAGATACTCTTTATTACAATCTGTTTTCACAGAATGCAGTAGAACTGGGGCTGTTTTTTTGTTTTGTTTGTTTTTTTCCCAAAATGTGATGTTGAAATTAATTTATAATGGGGCAGTGTATTGAATTTTCGCTGATGTTTTCTTACTTATGAGAGCAACAAACCAGGTTGTCCCTGTTATTGAGAATGTACAGAGCCAGAGAACAGAGGTGAGGTGTCCTGTAAAACATTCATAGATATCTTATGCCACCAGACACTCAGCGATCTCTCCATCTCATCACTATGACAGCCTTCTGTGAAGATCTCCTCTGTCATGTGATAAAAAGCCAAGCTGTGATCGCAGGCATCTTTTCCCTGTAGCATACTCTATAAAATTATTCATTGTATAATTTCCAAAGTCCTTTTTCTTTTTAATTTAAAAGGGCAGTGTCTTGAAAGTGTTGCAGGTGTATGTGATCCCAATAGACAGTCTCCTCTGCCTCCTCTCTCCAGGTCTGACAGCGGCAGCCGCAGCAGCTGCCAACGCAGCCATCGCAGAGGCCATGAAGGTCAAGAAGATCAAGCTGGAGGCCATGAGCGGCTACCACAGCAACGCCAACCACCACGGGCCGGACGGGGAGAACGGAGACCTCAGCTCCAGCGTCGGTAAGACACTTAAAGGAGGTGATGAACCAAAGCTCAGAGTTTGACAGGTCTATAAACCATAAGATAAAATTGCACAAAACAAAGAAAATGGCCAACTAATTTAAAACTAACTTTTTCCAAAAGGAGTTAGGTTCCACAATAAAGACACTTTGCTAAAGTAGGTCTCGATTTCTCTTAAAGTGGTATAATTTTGTGTGTGAACTTTCTTAATAGCCCAGAGAAACTGCGAACACATTTCCCAAAGCTTTCAGCTATTAACAAGCTCTAATTGAATTGCTGTGAGAGCATTGCTTATTCACTATGTGCCATTTCAATTAATTATTAGAGCTAAAAAGCAGGAGGATTTTAGTAATATCAGGCAGACCCATTTAGAGTATTAAAGCCAATGATAATGTATGTTAGCACAGATTCATGAGGCCATTCGCATTTTCAACCTAAATGTAAAGCCTGCAGCTGGCTGCTAAATGGAGGTTTTGATTCACTTACTATAATAAATGGCTGGACTCAAATAGTAACACTTGACACCAGCGAGTGTTGAGCGTGCGAGCGGCAAACAGGATGTGTTTGAAAGCACATTTAACAATGCAAAATGCATAAAGTGTGAGGTCATCTCTCTGAGAACGTAGTGTGAAAGAAAGAGAATATGAGCTGACGAGGTCACTGAAATAAAGATAAATGTGAGTACGAACTGCAAGGCTATGGCAATGGAGCTAATAAGAAACTGTTTTATCTTTTTACAATTTAAATTGTAACCTTGAGTCCAGTGCAGCCACACAGGCTCCCGGTAGAATCATAATTCTGCAGAGAGGGAGCTAGGTGCGGGGGCCTGTGAGCAGCATTAGCTCTCTGAGTGAAATATATGGCAGTGACGCCTCTCGACCCATCCACAATCAATTGGATTCTTTTCCTTTAATATTTACTCGCAGCGATGAGATGCTCGTCTGCATGGTGATGAACAGTCTGCCACTGGCGTTTGAAGGTGACCTGTCAGTGAGTATGGACAAATCTCTCGCTCGCAGAAATGTAGAAAATAAATCATTAGGGGCAGCCAGTCAGACAGGGGCCTCTCCCTCTCCCTCACTCTGCACGGATTTAAATCAGCTCAGATTTATGATTTGAATTAATGCTTCGTTTGGTCAAAGGAATGGTCGCCGAGACAAATGATGTTTGGTACTGAAACCATCCTAATATTGATTACCGGGTGTCGCAGCAATCTCTGTTTATATCAAGCACTCTGCTGTGACAGGGTGGCCACAGGAGTCATCCTGATAATACCAGGAGAAATATGGGCCTCTGTGCTGCACAGGGCCATGAAACACAGGGAGCTGAGCTGTCTTCATCCAGCCCCTGCCCACTCTTTATAAACACCATGTTGTTTTGTACTCTTATTTAGTTTGACCAGGCTACGTGTGTATCATGCACAAAAGCCCTAACTCCTAACCCTATGTTTTGTTATCACTTAAATTAAACAAAATTGTAAGTATGTATTGTGAAGTATTCCTTCATTTAAATATTGCTAATAAGAAGCACATCTTTTGGTACGTAACAGAGCAGGTTTGTGTTTTTACTTGCTTTATGTCTCAGGCAATGTTTATGTCAAGGCAAAACATAGATTAAAAAAAACACATTTCTCCTTTAAGTTTATGGCCAATGTCTCTATAATGCTTATTAGACATACATTTCCTTTCCTGTTGATGAACATTAGACACCATATTACTGCTAGTATTGACTACGTTAAGACTGCTTTCAGGAAATAGACAGGAGTTTTCTAATCAAAGAGCTTAATCTAAGCCACACACACAAACGGATGTGTTTACTTACACAAATGATGTTTCCGACCACGCCACGAATTGATATGATAATGAGCGTGTTTTCTTAATACCACTAAGGACATACTGCATTTAATCAGGGAGGGCTCCACTATATAATGAAAAAACAGGTCTGGTCTGACTAAATACACAGGTGTTTGTTGAAGATGATCCTGGGCTATTGTCAGCTGCAGCCAGTGAAGGACGCTGTGTTCTGTTTGCAGAGTTGGATTGCCCGTCGCCTTTGTGTTGATGTAAATTGAACAGGCTAATGTTTCCCCCCACATTAAATATTCATCACAATTAGACCTTGCATCAATGTTATTAATTATAAAGAAAAGAGGGTTCACCCGCACCAAAATAACTAAATTGAGAAGTGGATTTATGCACAGGGCCTTTTTAAAAAGTGTACAAGTTTCATAATTCATTTAATCGCCATATCAGAGGTGGAAACTATGAAACTTTTTAGAATTATGAAAATATTTATTAAAAACACAAGATGAAGCAGGCCAATTAGCCACTCCTCAAGACCTGATGATTGTTTTTCTGTCTTTCTTTACTTTATCTGCATTCTTTATTTTCTTCCTGTATTGTTGTACTTTTCTTCTGAACTTATTTCCACAAATGTTGCTTAACTGATGTAAAAAAAAAAAAAAAAGATAACTGTCCAAAGTAAGTCACAGTTAGAAAAACATGAAAATCTGCACTTTAACCAATTTTAAGATGGGTGAAGAGAGGTGAGGTGTGTGTGGGTGCCTAGTTTCTTTGATTGGGTCTCACACACTCCCTGAGCTGGGCAGAGGGAGCCCACTCAAAGCTCTGTGGATTGTTGCTGCGCCTCTCAGGAAATGCCACAATTACAGATCACAGACCAAGCAAAACACGTGTGGCTCAGGGCCTTGAGGGGGATAAACAGCGCACCACCCCCTCCCTGTGCACTGACCCCACACACAACCTTCATTACTGGAAGAGAAAATATTGTCAGCTGCCCACTAACAAACACCTGCCAATTTCAAGAGAAGGAATTGCTTTCTTAGCCAGAGAAAAGCTAAAATATCACACGTTAGAGGTTGGGAAAGAGAGTGCAGTGAGAAGATAAGGGCTTTTCTTTTTCCGTTTGTCTTTGGTCACTGGTTGCTGCCCTGCCACTCATGTGACTCTGCGCCACCCAACTCTAATGGAGCTGAAATCCTTTTTGTAATTAGATATGGGAATTCCACTGTCATCAGCCAGATGATGCCACGACTGCCCCACCAAACACAGCCGCGGCAGACACCACCGCATTTGACAGGACACAACTGTTGCGGTGAACTTGGTGACTTCATGTACTAAAATGTCTGCATGTAAGCTGAGAACTGTTTCAAAACCTGAAAATACTTTTATGTTGGATAGTTTACAGTCTGCTACAGCAGCAGGGGGCGCTACACCCAGTGCACCTGTCCATTTCACGCTCTGGATGGTGACAGGTACCAGGAGACTGGCCTGGCCCACATTCAGAAGATGTGGTTTTGGGTGAGATGATGAGGAAGCATCATTCTTTTCCTTCTGAGGGTCATCAGGCTAATTTGTGCTAGCTCCGCCCCCGCCTGTGTATGTTTGTGAGTATATTAAATATGGAGGTGTGCAGCGAGCGTGCACGTGTGCTCGCTCGTTTGCGTGCGAAAGACGAAGAGAAAGAGGGGGCCTTGGCCCCTGAGAGCGCTCTGTGAGGAGACCACAGCTGTACACTCCCAGCAGCTAATTGGTCCTTATCTAGCTGTCCCATTCATCTTCATTTTTTACCAATTACTGAGCATTATCTGTGTTCTCAGTTGGGTATGGGACTTAATCCTTTTTGGTTAAGCTGGTGCTACAGCTTGCAAATTTCAATTGGAGGGGGAGGAAGATGATGGGGGAAAGAAAGGGAAGAGGTGGAAGCGAACAGGAGGAGTGAGGGGCAAAAGTCGCCAGAAAAAAACTAAAAAGTTCCCATCATCCTTCACTGGCAGGAAGCAATCAATAAGCAATGACATCACACCAAGGAGAGTGCAAAAAATGGAAGGGATCAATTATTGGCGTTATAATTCAAGTCCTTGTTTGCAAACGTTGCAGCTGCATTGATTAGGCTGTTCCTGTTGCACTCACCGTTATTGACTTGTTAAAACCATATTTTCTCATCATCAGTGGTTTTACGTTTGCGGTCGACACAGATAACAGCGCTATAAGGGGGGCTATTAATTATTCAAAATGTATTCATTTTAAAGCACACCAGGTTCAAATCATCCTGTTTACTCTACAAACAAAAGCACTGTGGTACATGGCTCATCCAGAAGGTACATCAAGACGCCGCAATCTGGGGCAGTTAGCCTTAATTTTCTGAGATCAATGCATAACTAGGCTCCTCTCGATATGGGGTCCACGCTTGGCCCTGCTGCAGAGCTGAGTGGAGTCAGCCTGGAGACCATGCACTAATTACTGTAGTGTTTACTGCTCTGCTGGATAGCATTTGTACCATTTTGGATCATATCAGCGAGTCAATGTGCTCTGCTCTACAATGATAAATAAGATATTACAACAGCAGCTTTCATGGAAAAACATGACACACAATGGCACACACCCATAAAGTATGTGTTTTGTAAAGAAGGCAAAGAGGTAACTCTTAAACAGTTGTGCGTGTGAAGACAAAGTAGAAACTCCTGCACTTTGATAAGGATGGCTTTAGTCACACTCTCAGTGGCAGCTGTCAGCCCAGCTCCTCTGCTGCCATTTAATTAGTCTGTTTATGTCCTTTCTAATAATAAAGCTCTGGGTGGAAGGACATCTTCTAGCCATGTGAACCAACCTGCTCACTGTGTAGTGCTGGTGGCTCCATGCAGTGCTAAATGTGGGCCATGATGGAGGAGAGTGGCTACTTCCTGCTCCTCAGACTGAACAATGGCCCTGGGGCTCAGATCTAGTATCAGCCCTCCTCAATCCTAACCTTAACCATTAGGGGATAAAGCACACACTGACCTGATATGAGTGTCTAGGGGCAACTTCATCCATCTTCTTCTGCAGCTCTCTTGTGGGAGCTTTTGTCAGCCCAAGCTCTTGAGAGGGACTAGATTGTAGCCATAGGCTGAATAGAATTCATTTCACGAGCATATTATAACAGCTTTTAGGGCACTGCACATGATTTGATTTATGCATTTATGTCAACTTTTATGATGTTGG